ATATTTATATGCCAGTGGTATAATATTGAATCATGTGGCATTTCATTAGATAGCAATATTCTTAAGGATATTTGCCCAAAACTCCTAATGTACTGCCTTACATACATTCTTCTGGGTAATAAATAAATCTTCAGTGTTCAGTGTAAGCCTACGGGTGACGTCATAATTGCAATTTTGGGGTAAAAACTGAAAAAGCGGTTTCTCAAATTTCTCTTTTACCTGAGCATCCATGATCACCGTTTCAATTCCGATTTAGTGACACCATTTAGTACTCCAAAACCCTGCCAGCGATTTTCTTAGAAGTCTTATATGAGATTTTTTTGTTGATAAACCATAATATGCCTTATTTAAGGAAAATCTGTAATTAGGGGCTCAGAACTCCATAACAAAAACAATTAAACCAAAATGACAGCACGGGATTGTTGCCTATAGACTCCTGATCAACTCTGCCAATATTTCGTGATACAATCTTGCTCGGAGATGAAGTTACACGCCCTACATTTTGCTATCTCACCTCAAAATAGAAAGGTGTTCAACTGACAATTAAAACTTTGAGTTGCCTATGCTTATACATTGCAACGAAAAAATAATAAACGCTGATATTTTATATTTCGAGGGTTCTTTTCGTTGTTTTAAACCAGTACAAAGACAGATGCATTATTGAATAATCAGATGCAGGAAAAACCTCGTTTTTCGTATCTGGTTGCTAATAAAGGGTTACAGTAACCTAAACATATATTTTTTAAACTTTGACTGAATAATTCATCCACGCGGAAAGCTGATCTATAGAAGGAGCTAGGTAACTACTGATACCATGCATCTTTTTCAGGAGGGTACGCTGACCAACCTGGTGGCCAAAATAAGAGACCTTGATGTGGACGAGGACGTAGAAGATGATGATGACGAAGACGGTGGCAAATAACGCAGATCTTCACTGAGCACTGAGTTTCAGCGAGAGGCAGACAAGAGCCTAGCAACTGTTTTTCATTTCACGGACCTTGAGACATTTGAATCACTAGAACAGTAACCAAATTAGTTTTTATCATAGTATATAGTCTGATCATATGCGCCGTTGCTACTAAATGTAAGCCAAAGACCACTAATGAAGTTCAATGAAATTCAGGGTAGTACCATTCAGCTTCGGATTTGTCAAACATAAATTACATCGTTTAACTAATTCAATATTATGTCACAGAAGCACAGGCTGGTCGATTTACGATATCCACATTCTTTGGTAATATGATTGCGTGTTGTGAATATCTTTCATTTTGAATCCACTCTCATTAAAGTAGTGATACACATCGGGATCCAGAAATACAAAGCAACAAAAAAGCCTTTTCATCAGGGATATTGATGCTTTACGTTACAAAAAAACTGTATCTTAATTAGATGAAATAACAGTCCTTTGAAAGTGGCAAACTAAAAGCTGTCCATTTCTGATATCTTCATTTGATAACATCAGGTCGCAGAAGGTTGTTCTTCCAAAATATGAACTTCTTTCGTAAAATTGGATACTTCAGAATGTTGGTTTAATGGTGTGAATATAGATAGTTTTAACTAATTAAAATGCTTTTGTTTTCTTAAGTTGGCTGCAATAATAAATTGACAGTTTATACTATTGTACTAAAAGTTCCATTGTCTTTTCTGATGAATAAACTGCTACTTTATTTCATTCAGTTTCTTGATTATTATATTTGATGTAGTAATGAAGATTACTGCAATTTCTATAGAACAATAGGCTCTAAGGATCATAGAAGAAACTAGTGTTTTGTACATAAATGTATATATGTATATGTTATGCATCGCGATCCTTTCCATTCCGTATCCAAAGAAAAGTAATAGGCTCAGGTGTGAATTTACCTACTTAATTTTTTCACATTGGTACTACTAATTTTCGTACTACAACCAAAATAACTTTACTCATTGGGCTCGTTTTATTCACATTTATCTTTTTAATTGGATATTCGAAATATGAAATATGAAAATATTCCTTTAAAATGAATTCATCATCAACATTAACGACCAAAAGATCTGGGAAAGCCCACTTTTCGTGTAGTCTTTTGTAGAAGCGTTTCTGTTTAGTATTGAATTGTTTAAAGTGTGATCTTGCCTCACTTCGTTCTTCTGTAGAAATGTGCTGATCCAAACTAACTACACGTAACCATTCATTTTATCAATAATAGACAAAAAATTGATACCAAAAAATATGAATAACAGTTGGCTAACCTACCCTCCGCATCAGCAAACAAGTCAATAATGACCATTGCCACCAAGAGCAAAGTGATCAAGGTTTTTTTGTCCATGTTGCAAGCCCGTCACACTGAGGAGCAGTTTGAACGGAGTTGTGAAGTTTCCACAAAGTAACGCCTCGTTTTATAAGGCCACTTAACCACGCCCTGCTTACATAACTTTTTGCGTGAATAAGAAATGGACGAGGCTTGAACTTTGTTACTCTCTGTGATCAAGTTGCATGAAGTGCCATGATAATAAAATGTCACAAAACAGGTTTCGGTGCCATTTCGTTCGTTCGTTACCCCCTGCCCCGCTAGCCCCCCCCCCCCCCCCCCCCCCCCCCCCCCCCCCCCGATCCGCCGCTGCTCATTACCCTCAGTAGGGTGGGTTTTGTTTTTAAACTTGAGATGTAAATAAAAACATTTTTATTATTATTATTTACCCGTTTCGCGTGCTGCATTGTGACAAGGTGACACTCTGTCAGTTTAATTAGTCATTATCAGGGATGATTAACCGTGCTTTAATTAAGCCAGATAAACCACTCGAAATAGAGCAGATACTTTTCTCGGCTTCGCCTCGCCATTTATCTGCTCTATTTGGCGTAAAGCTCAGCGCCTCGCACTTTATCTATACCACAATTCATCCCGATGGGCCAAAGCTTCCCGTGTACAGATACTGAGTGTCCATGTAACAGAAAGTCCGCCTTCCAATTGGTTATATTGGTTAGGGTTTCGAGTTCATTTACAGGTGATGGGTTTAAAGTGCCATCCTTGGGCGTTGGCTAGGGGGTACATCTGTTGGTCGTTATAATGTTTGTTAATGTTTCATATAACATCCCCCAAGACATATTCCCTCGAACTTGCAATTAATAAATAAAAAGTGTAATCATACATTTACATGCATCTTGAATCAGGATTTTTTTTTTTAATTTAAAAATACTAAAGACGTTTATCCTACACATATACTATTGACTTAATTGAACAATGGAATTAATGAGAATTTAACTTATTATGTTTGATACTGCACGATTTTCTTTGCTTTTTTTTCTATTTTAAAAAGGTATCATAAAAAGCCTTGTCAAGGCTACAATTAAAGGCGTTTCAGTGGATTCCAGGATGAAAATAAATGTATTAACTGTGTTTAAGTACAGGTTGTTTGGGAAACATCCGTTATACTGCCAATATATATATATATATATATATATATATATATAATCAGATTGTTTTATTTATTTAGAGCAATATACAGGTGTATTTTTCGTTTTCACAATGAGATTTGTGATCATATTGGTGAACTAGGAGCAATGGCTGGACGCGATGTATTCATGCCTTAGTAGCAGAAAATTCATTTTGAGGGATGAGCAATTCTGCTTTTCATTCATTCCCATTGGGTGATTCCATGCCTCGTGACTGCGATCACTTTACGCGGTTAACCTGAAGAGCCTATTGTCAACATCAAAGTGCTGATCCATAGAGCTGTGCACAGGGCACTTTCACTGACATTACTGTCTGCCGTCAATAGATCGCATTCTTCAAGCATAAAGGGCAATGGAAAGGATCGCGATGCATAACATATACATATATACATTTATGTACAAAACACTAGTTTCTTCTATGGTCCTTAGAGCCTATTGTTCTATAGAAATTGCACTGATCTTCATTACTACTGAGCCCCTAATTACAGATTTTCCTTAAATAAGGCATATTATGGTTTATCAACAAAAAAATCTCATATTAGACTGCTAAGAAAATCGCTGGAAAGGTTTTGGAGTACTAAATGGTGTCACTAAATCGAAATTGAAACGGTGATCATGGATGCTCAGGTAAAAGAGAAATTTGAGAAACCGCTTTTTCAGTTTTTACCCCAAAATTGCAATTATGACGTCACCCGTAGGCTTACACTGAACACTGAAGATTTATTTATTACCCAGAAGAATGTATGTAAGGCAGTACATTAGGAGTTTGGGGCAAAGGGTGACAATATCCTTAAGAATATTGCTATCTAAGGAAATGCCACATGATGCAATATTATACCACTGGCATATAAATATTTGAGTTTTTGCAACGTCCCTGCTGCAAACGATTGGGTACCATTTACCCGACCTTTTCATGCGCCGGCTCCAAGCTCTTTTTATACAAGCCAATTTGGAGAATTATTTTTACTGATAAGTGATGAGAATTGGTGTAGAAAAAGTCTTATTCTTATTTTCGCGTGAATAAGAAAAGGACGAGGCTTGAACTTTGTTTTCTCTCTGTGATCAAGTTGCATGAAGTGCCATGATAATAAAATGTCACAAAACAGGTTTCGGTACCATTTCGTTCGTTCGTTACCCTCTGTGATCATATTGGTGCACCAGGAGCAATAGCTGGAGGTGGTGTATTCATGCCTAGTAGCAGAAAATTAATTTTGAGGGATGAGCTATTCTGCTTTTCATTCATTCCCATTTGGGTGATTCCATGCCTCGTGACTGCGATTACTTTACGCGGTTAACCAGAAGAGCCTATTGTCAACATCAGAGTGCTGATCCATAGAGCGGTGCACAGGGCACTTTCACTGACATCACTGTCTGTCGTCAACAGATTACATTCTTCAAGCATAAAGGAAAATGGAAAGGATCGCGGTGTATGACATATACATATATACATTTATGTACAAAACACTAGTATATTCTATGGTCCTTAGGGCCTATGGTTCTATAGAAATTGCAGTGGTCTTCATTACCGCATCAAATATAATAATCAAGAAACTGAATGAAATAAAGTTGCAGTTTATTCATCAGAAAAGACAATGGAACTTTTAGTACAATAGTATAAACTGTCAATTTATTATTGCAGCCAACTTAAGAAAACAAAAGCATTAACTATCTATATTCACACCATTAAACCAACATTCTGAAGTATCCAATTTTACGCAAGAAGTTCATATTTTGGAGGAACAACCTTCTGCGAGCTGATGTTATCAAATGAAGATCTCAGAAATGGGCAGCTTTTAGTTTGCCACTTTTAAAGGACTGTTATTTCATTTTATTAAGATTAAATTTTTTTGTAACATAAAGCATCGATATCCCTGATGAAAAGGCTTTTTTGTTGCTTTGTATTACTGGATCGCGATGTGTATCACTACTTTAATGAGAGTGGATTCAAAATGAAAGATATCCACAACACGCATTGACATTACCAAATAATGTGGATATCGTAAATCGACCAGAATGTAGTTCTGCCAATCACTGAGACCACGCCCACTATTATCTGTTGGTAACTGCACCGTTTTGCTTCTGTGACATAATATTGAATTAGTTAAACAATGTAATATATGTTTGACAAATCCGAAGCTGAATGGTACTACCCTGAATTTCATTGAACTTCATTAGTGGTCTTTGGCTAACATTTAGTAACAACGGCGCATATGATCAGACTGTATACTATGATAAAACTAATTTGATTACTGTTCTAGTGATTCAAATGTCTCAAGGTCCGTGAAATGGAAAACAGTTGCTAGGCTCACGTCTGATTCTCGCTGAAACTTAGTGTACGTTATTCGTCACCGTCATCGTCATCATCATCTTCTACGTCCTCGTCCGCATCAAGGTCTCTTAGTTTGGCCACCAGGTTGGTCAGCGTACCCTCCTGAAAAAGATGCATGGTATCAGTAGTTACCTAGCTCCTTCTAGATCAGCTTTCCGCGTGGATGAATTATTCAGTCAAAGTTTAAAAAATATATGTTTAGGTTACTGTAACCCTTTATTAATGAGGTTTTTCCTGCATCTGATTATTCAATCATGCATCTGTCTTTGTACTGGTTTAAAACAACGAAAAAAACCCTCGAAATATAAAATATCGGCGTTTATTATTTTTCGTTGCAATGTGTAAGCATAGGCAACTCAAAGTTTTAATCGTCAGTTTAACACCTTTCAATTTTGAGGCGATATAGCAAAATGTAGGGCGTGTAACTTCATCTCCGAACAAGATTTTATCACGAAATATTGGCAGAGTTGATTAGAAGTCTATAGGCAACAATCCCGTGCTGTCATTTTGGTTTAAATGTTTTTGTTATGGAGTTCTGAGCCCCTAATTACAGATTTTCCTTAAACAAAGGCATATTTTGGTTTATCAACAAAATAATCTCATATAAGACTTCTAAGAAAATCGCTGGCAGGGTTTTGGAGTACTAAATGGCGTTACTAAATCGGCATTGAAACGGTGATCGTGGATGCTCAGGTAAAAGAGAAATTTGAGCAACCGCTTTTTCAGTTTTTACCCCAAAATTGCAATTATGACGTCACCCGTAGGCTAACACTGAACACTGAACATTTATTTATTACCCAGAAGAATGTATGTAAGGCAGTACATTAGGAGTTTGGGGCAAAGGGTGACAATATCCTTAAGAATATTGCTATCTAATGAAATGCCACATGATTCAATATTATACCACTGGCATATAAATATTTGAGTTTTTGCAACGTCCCTGCTGCAAACGATTGGGTACCATTTACTCGACCTTTTCATGCGCCGGCTCCAAGCTCTTTTTATACAAGCCAATTTGGAGAATAATTTTTACTGATAAGTGATGAGAATTGGTGTAGAGAAAGTCTTATTCTTATGGCAAGTTTACATCGAAGAAAAGTCTACATTCCACGATACAAACATTATGGCGGACTTCCATTTTAAACTAACACATAATTATACAGTAGCAAATGTTGAAGCTCTGTTACTCTCGTGTGAGTCCCATCGATGGAGATTAGCTGTGTCGGATATCAAAATGTTTGACTTTGCTTCCTACTGTACGCGTACTACTAAATAAACAGAAATTCTTCTTGCAGAGGCATGGCTTTTGGTTTAGGCTAATACTAATGAAATGACGAGGAACTTACGTCTTTATCCGACTGATCAGCCTCCTTCGACAGGATCCCTTCTGATTCATCCCCCATTCCACGACGACGACGGCGGCTGCGGCGACGGCGGCGGGTCGAAGCTAAAGATTGAGGATATCAACAAAAGATATGGCACTTATGACATATGGAATGGAAACGTTGGGTAATGATAGATACACGCATGGTTTTCTACACGTAACCATTTATTTTATCAATTATAGACAAAAATTGATACCAAACGATACAAATAATAGTTGGCCAACTTACCCTCCGAATCAGCGAACAAGTCAATAATGAGCATTGTCACCAAGAGCAATGCGATCAAGGTTTTTTTGTCCATGTTGCAAGCCCGTCCCACTGAGGAGCAGTTTGAACGGAGTTGTGAAGTTTCCGCAAACTGACGCCTCGTTTTATAACGCCACTTAACCACGCCCTGCTTACATAACTTTTTGCGTGAATAAGAAAAGGACGAGACTTGAACTTTGATTCCCTGTCTGTGATCAAGTTGCATGAAGTGCCATGATAATAAAATGTCACAAAACAGGTTTTGGTGCGATTACTTTACGGCCAAAATCTCCTATTTTTCACGTAACACGGTCAAAGTGGTTATTCTTCGTATAACCTTGTTCTGGTACTGCTGCTCGCGCTTTTACATGTATACTATATAAAAACAAGTATATGACTCTATACATTTCTCACATGCACGTTATACGATCAGGAAATAACGCTATTAATATCGTATTTATAAATGTTTATACATGCCTAAAGCTTTGAGTATAATCGATAAACTGATGATATTTGTCTCTCTTTCTAATATTTACAACATGCTTTGATTGCATATATAAAAATATAATCAACATTTAAAAAGAATACGAAAAGATACAACATTGTGTCCATCTTTATTAAAAAAAAAGAAACTAAACGTTCGTAAATAGACAGTTAATTGAAACGTGCGTGTATATAAGCAAATTTTATTTATAACAAATGTTCTGGAATTATTCGTTTGAAGCGTTTGTCAGCATGGTCACTGAGTTAAAGAGCCAAACACTGATCTTTCAAAAAATTCAGGCGTTATAAATCACTAGCTAAACGAAGCTCGATATTTGAATAGCTGTCTGTGGTCACGTGCCCGGGTCTGTGACTGTGATCTTGTCGCTTGAAGTGGAATGATGAAGAAATGCCACACAAAATCAGTTTCAGGATAAAGGTTTTTTTTATGAAAATCTTGTCATATTTGTTTACTTAGCACGCACAGAGGAAGTGCATGGACCTTAATAACTGATACTGGTAAAGGTGCCTATATACCGGTACCCTTAGATAACATGTATGCTTTAAAGCGCCGACTTCCTTTCTTTTATTACTTCACGCCCCAAAACATGACTAAATATTTTGTCAAAAAGATGTTTCTTTTCATCGTTTGTTTGATTGATTTAGAAGAGTTAATTGGTTTTACTATGACGAAAGTCGAGGAAAACATTCGTGCACATGTGCAATGTTTCAACGAATTTCAAACAAACGCTAGAAAAACTTAAAGGACAATGTTCATGTAAAAATCCATTTCTCGAATTTTGAAGATTCAGCACTCAATCTATACACTAGAGGTATGTTTTAATCGATCCCCGCCATTTAAAAATTATAAAAACAATCTATTAATAGTAAAAAAGCGTTTTAGTAAACCTTACCTCAATATGCATAAATGAAGCAACAGATCTGGGTCACGTGGTACTGTGACGACAATTGGGATAAAGGTCTATGAGACTCAACTGAGCTGCATGTGCAAACAGACAGAATGATTTTGGAAAGTTGTGTTGAACGGAGTTGAGCAATTTTCTTTATGCCTCAGTGTGTTGCCGTGGGATTCACCAAAATTGCAGCACTCCTTGACTATCTTTCTTTATCTGTGACGGTCTTCCGTGACTAACTTGCTAACTTTGGTGACAATAGTTGCGATCCTCGCGATCTCGGTCACCTCAGGTGTTTTAGATCATATCAAAAGCTGATAGTCTTTTAGATACTGTCATCAGTTGGCAAGCTTACTAATTGCTGATGCATTTTTAAATTCATTGTAGTTGACCAAGAGCTCGTTAACAATAAAACCTGTTAATTATGCACCGCTGCAATTCCCAAGCCAGGTAATAACAGGTATGAAACTCGTCTTGGTGGGCTTTCATATTTTTCAATATATCTCATTTATTTCATGGGGTTATTTTATTGGTATTTGTAAATGACGTTAAATATCAATACTTAAACAATTAAGAGAGAACAGTTTCATTAGCTCTGTATGTATATATTCAAATTCTTGTTTTTCTTTTTATCAAGAGCTTGTAAAATATGTGGGTATTACCTCCAATATTGGAGGTAATACCCACATATTTTACAAGCTCTTGATAAAAAGAAAAACAAGAATTTGAATTAAACAATTAAGTTCTAACACGGTCGCGAACATTAATAAAAGAAATTGCTCTCAGGGTATCTTGAAGCTTCCGTGGAAGAAAACGTGTTGAGGAAAAACAGGAAAAAGAGCGTTATATTAAAGAAAAAATGGGAACTGCTGTAATAAAATGGTTCGTTATCCTAATTCGTTTATGCATTGAGGATTTGTTTCTGAAGATTATTTCATCTGAAATATTAAATAATTTAAAAGATTGATCATTTAATAACTTGAAACGCAAATTCTGCGTCAGTACGCAATTTTTTTTTTTTTCAAATTTGTAAGCTTATAACACCGTGCTATAAAGATCTACTCAAGAAAAAAATTTGCTTGGGTAAAATTGAGTACGGAATGAACTGGAGACACTTGGCTTGTCATTAAGTTTACACGAAAATATGTCAGGTAACTTTATACTGTCTTTGAAAGAGTAAAGATTGAAAGATAATTTTAGACAAACTTTGACGGAGGAAATACCTACAAAGAGTAATGGGCTATTTCGCCAACATCTTGTTGAAAATTTTACACTGCAATTCTATTCAAATAAGCTAAGGAACTAATTGCCAAATTAATACTCTCATCACATAACAGGGGGGTAACCAGACCTGCAAAAATTGTACGCACATATTTAAAAAGATTACAAGCACATACAGCAAAATGTAGACTTACGCAAAACATGAAGGACAGCGTAATCACAGCAAATGTACCTCATATAGTAGCTTAATTTCCATTAATAATAAAATCATCATTTAAGTCAAAAATATTCTTGCGATTTAATAACTATTTTAATTTACCCAGAACGGTATATTTATTTTAAAGGCGGTTAACTGAAATATAGTTTTATGATTTGTTTGTGAAAATTGCCCATGTCACCCTGTTAGTTTGGAGGTCTAAGCTGGATCAAGTCCGTGTTAAAATTCCTATGAAGTTGTGCAGGAAAAATTCTTCCTTTCTTTCTCTAGCTCCTCGATAAACCTGGTGTTCAGATTTTATCTAGTACCCCCAGGTCTACGGGAGCTGCGCTTTGTAACTAACGCACAGGTAGATTTTTACCTGAGATAACTGGAGTAAAGCTTAGATAGAGAGTGCGTTCGATACAAGCAAGACAAATTGAATGCCATTTAACCCTCTAATTAAGAGGTAAAGGAAGTTCCAGTTAGATGGATGATTAAGATAGGACTTGTAAAGGTAACGGGCATTGTTTACCTCAGTTTAATAAAAGTATGCAAGACGGAGTGTCAGCGGTTTAATAAAATAAATTGAATTTCACAAATAACATGGACCTCATATGCAATAATCAACATTTCCCTTAACTCATTCAAATGCAGTGTTTTATACAACTTGGGATAACCATGATTAAATGCTTGTTAAAGAATTGACTAGACGGGAAATGGTTTTACACAGCTTCACGAGGATTTAGACCCCTCGGGTAAGAGATTTGAATGAGTATAAACTTTTATCAGAAGCCAGAGAAGTCATCTTACAGGTAGACAATGCAGCTCAGTTTAACAGCTAAGCACGCTCTATTCTCCAGTGGCTCGATTGTCGTCATCAGACCACGTGACAACGTAGCTCATTAACTCTCAGGCCGAGCAAATAGGACGTTTTTTAAAGCCAAAAATTTACAAAATGAGCTTTTAATTTGTGTATTTGGATAAAGATATCGTTAGTTGGGCATGTTTTCTGAAGAATATGTTCCGTTCAGGCCATTCTGACGGCATGAAGCAAATCCTTTAAACGATTTAGTATATTGCATGTAAATGTGAGATAAAAATGAAGATGAGATTGGATCCTTTAGTAATCACAGGATCGTAGTCTGAATGCCCCCTATCCCCCAGAGATTTTTGAAAAAAATGTTATTTTTACATGCACATACAGGGGGGTAAACGTTAGCCTTCCCCCTATTTCTTTCCTTCAGAAGACTGCTACTTTCCTTCCAGTGCATGGCTCCAGATGATTTAACCACTGTCGGTACAAATGTCTTGATTACATACATTTTATGCTGTAAGCATTCGACATCTGTACCAAGTGCTGTTCACATTCTACACCCTTTATCACTTCAGTGTTAACGTTCTCGTTCCTTATGGCAAAAAAGACAATTATTTTTAACAAAAATTAATTCTAGGTATCGGGTATATGCATGAGGATGCATCAGAAGAGAAGTTGAAACAGAAGTTGAAATTGCTACCGAAAAGCGTGAAATTATTTTTATATTAATTCAAATTTTTGACTGAAGAAGATCGAACTTCAGAGTGTTCGATGCATTGAAATATAATGAATCGTAACTCAATGAACTTGTGAGAGTATGGAAATGTGACCCGCTACCTAACCAACGAAATAAGATATTTGTAGCACTAGGAGGACTCGGATTAGACTCTTAACACATTTTAACTAAATGTTAACACATACATTTCTTATGGTAAAAAAAAGATAATTTGTGAAAAAATTTCAAACCAAAATACTAATATTACATGAAGTAGCCACACAATTTCTATTAAAAGGTGAAACAATTTCATTCATATATGACAATTATCAAACGCAAGCCGAAATACTTTCATACCGTGAACTTATATTAATTACAGTCAACCTGGGCGTAGGCCTTCTTCAGACTAACGTCAATAAATGATGTTACTCATTGGCCGCAATTTCATTGTTATTTCAGTATAGGGCAGTTTCATTATTAACTTCGTTATTGTTATAGACTTGTGAAGATTCTGTCTATAGCTACTTATATTTGTCTGGTCTTAACAGCCAATATTTCGTCAGACTTCATCAGGGAATGAGGTTGTGATAGAGGTGACAACCTGTCACCCTTGTCATATCTATCACAACCTCATTCCTTGATGATGTCTGTTTGCAAAAAACATAGAAAGACAATTAGCTGCCTCTCCTTCTAAGTTCGTGCTTAGAAAATTGGAAAGCACTGATTGTGTGAATCCATAGTACAGTTGTATATCTTACAAAAAATAAAGGTACAAAAGCTGACACATGGTTGCACAGACTAATGACCTCGCCTAGGCGGGTTTAAG